TCATTTTTCTTCATTTGTACATATTTCCATAAATGCACATAGTACAACAGTTTTAATACTTAATTCAGCTCTCTGACATTTTGAAGAAGACTGTTCCTTTGCATAGGTTCTTTTGATTCCCATCAGAAGCCATATAATTGGTACTCAAAGACTATGAATGAATTGTATTTTATCAGGGCTGACTTCAAGAATATTTAATAATTGCTTGACTGAAAATTCTGGAAATTGTCAGAAGCATGGCTAGTCCATGTGGGCAAAGTCTCTGTTCTGAGGTTACTATAACCTGCTAGTCATTTAAAACTACATCACTGTAATTGTTCAGTGTCTGTATTGCACATAGAATTTTATGTGCAAGGAGCAATTTTCCCTCTTATGCTGTCATCCTTCTTATAAAAAAAGAACAAATAATTGTATATCAAAATTCTTAGTTTAAGATTGATGTGACTTCATAATATTTACAATGTAATTTTATCTGGATTAATCCTTTTTAAAATTTCTGTTGTTATTGTTGTTTGTTTTGGGGATGCTGGAAGTAGTACACAGTAGCTTCTTCTACACTAGGAATGAGCTACATTCCCAGAGTCAAGTCATTTCTTAGCAAAATTTTCCAAATCACAATCATCTGACGTATTTCCCTGAGTTTCACCCATTATCTAAGCTACAAACAATGTGAAAAGTTACAGAATCTATCCACCAACAAATAAAATTTTACCATCACATTATATACATTCCTGCTCACTAAAACGTTACACAGAAACTTTGCGTTAATTAACATATTTTTATTTAAATTAAAAATAAGCTTCCCCTGCCCCCCCACTAACCCCCCATCCTATCCCTTTTCTGCTCCCCAGGGAGGGTAAGGCCTTCCATAGGGGATCTTCAGAGTCTGCCATATCATTTGGAGCAGGGCCTAGGCCCTCCTCTGTGTGTCTAGGCTGAGAGAGTATAGCCCTCTATGTGGAATAGGCTCCCAAAGTGCATTCTTTTGCTAGGAATAAATACTGATCTACTACCAGAGGCCCCATATATTTTAGAGGTCTCCTCCCTGACATCCTTGTTCAGGGGGTCTGGATCAGTTCTATGCTGGTTTCCCAGCTATCAGTCTGGGGTCATGAGCTCCCACTTTGTTCAGGTCAGCTGTTTCTGTGGTTTTCACTAGCCTGGTCTTGACCTCTTTGGGTATCACTCGTCCATTACCTGCTGGATGATGCAGAGAGGGACGAGTGATACCCAAAGAGGTCAAGACCAGGCTAGTGAAAAGCATTAATGGACTTATAGCTGCTCAGAAATGTTTGAAAATATTAGATAAGAAGCTGCTCTGCAGTCAGTATAGTCACATCATAGACATCCTTATATTCCAGAGAAAATAGATTCTCATTTGAAAATGGAGATGCTACAATATATAACTCTTATTATATATTCTTCCAAGTAATTCTGATATCTTCTGGTCTTAGAAAATATGACTATAGCTCCTTTCAGCAGAAATTCCTGATAGAATTTCCCTGTTGTTAATACTTAATTCCTCACCTACAAACAGATTTACCTGTGAAGACTTTGTGATGAGCTGATTTCTACCTCACTTTGATATGGCATGCTTTGTTGATACCTACAGGAGGCCTGGCCCTTTCTGAACAGAAACAGAATAGAGGTGGATGGGGGGAGGGAAGGGGAGGAGTGGAGGGAAGGGAAACTTTCTTTAGGAAGTAGAATAAATGAATAAACTTAATTAAAAAATAGTGCTACCTCCTTTAGTCTTGCCAATCTGAGTGTGCCATTTCCAAGTATTCAAGTAAGTCTTTGGGTGATTCTCTGGCTTCCTCCAGATACTGAACTTTTATATTCACTAAAGGTAGTTCATTGGGGTAAATTATCACCAAAAAGACCACAAACAGATGTGAAGTGAGAGCAAACAGGAAGTCAATATTAGTCCAGCATGGAAATTATAGTCAATTCTTTGCTTTGCCTAGTTGCAAGGTTTAGACAATTTAAAAATTTCTACTTTAGGGAATAAAATGAGAAGGCTAACACAGGCCAGAACACAATGGAGGGAACCGATGCAGTGGCTTTTTTTTTTTTCCTATTTAGAGTCATTACCAAATATTTGAATGTTTTAGGAGAACTCTGTCAGTTCAGAAATGTTGGCTATAATTAAAAATATTTTAAGCCATGGACCAAACAAGCCTGCTTACAGTTTGTGAGGGCCAGGAGCCACCAGCCTGAGAGCCTGCACCTGACAACATCAACCAAAAAGCTATGGAGAAAACTGGATTTCACACATCGATTTTGGCTCACTTTGTGGTTTATTTATTTATTTTTCTTGAACATTAGAAAACACCTTTGACCTGGAAGTATTTTAAAGGCCAAATATTCTCTTAAAATTTTATTTGTCCTTTGCTATCAAGAATCAGTGACAGTGTCTTCAAGAGAAACTCACTTACTGACCTCATCTCCTTAGCAGAGTTCACTGACACTTTTAAATTACTAAGTGAGGCTCAGTTTCTTCAGCTCTGTAGAGAATATACATGGAAGTTAAATAAAGGATTTTTTCTGAGAATTTTTTGTAATGTTTCGTTTCACTGAAGATTACCTAAGAAGTAAATGGAGCCATGATTAACTCTTTTACATATACATTTTATATATGTATTTGATTTATATTGAAGGGAAGGAAAAGTAGATTTATGTGTTTCTATATATGCACATGTATATTTATATATTACCTTAAATATATACAGAGGTGTGTGTGTGTGTGTGTGTGTGTGTGTGTGTGTGTGTGTGTGTGTGTGTGTGTAAAAATATATGTGGTGTGTGTGTAACCATAACTTAGTGGCTGTCATGTCTAAGTTATTTGTGAATTGTAAATTTTACTGAATTCTATAAATGATAAAGCTGAAGTTGTTCATATGTTATTAGCAGTAATCATATGAGAAATGTGGACTTGGCAATATTCTTTCTGAATAATCCTTACAAATTTTAATTTGTAATTTAATTTGTAATTTAATAAAAAACTACCTATAAATAATTACTTAGTACTTTATTGATATTTCAGGAAGAATCTTCCTCTATGTTTTAATACAGAGAATATTTTCTGAGGGTTTGGCCATTTAAGGGATGAAAATTTCAACTGGATATCAAAAGTAAAATTGATAGAGTGGTACATTTTTTTTATTTGTTCAAGTTAGGGAACAAGCTTGTTTTACATGTAAGTCCCTTCTCCCTCCCCTCACCCCCTTCTCTCCTCCCCGACCCCCGCCCTACCCCACACCCCATCCTCCTTCCACTCCCCAGGCAGGGTAGGGCCCTCAACGGGCGCTCTGCAAAGTCCACCAAACCTTCCTGTGCTGGTCCTGGGCCCTTCCCCATGTTTCCAGGGCCAGAGTGTATCCCTTCACATG